GCCCCTTGGGCCGGAGCGTCGGACAGCCCGAAAGGCGAGCACTCCCAAACCCTTCAAATCTCTGAGGAAAGTCAATGATGCTTCCCTCTTGGGAGGCCTCTTGGAGGCATCTTGGGGCGTCTTGAAGGCCTCTTGGGCCATCTTGAGGCCGTCTTGGGCGTCTTGGAGCTATCGTTCAGCGTCTCGGGGCCCTCTTGGACCGTCTTTGGGGCCTCCTGGGCCGTCATGGAAGCCCCGGAGAGCTTCAGGGAGGCACCGGGGCCAACCTATTCGTTGAATGCCCCCTTGAGCTTGGTGTCGCTCTGACATGTGGACTTGTTGTTAGCGCCTTCATCATGGCTGCACTCGCTCCACTTGCAGGCCAGCCACAACTGGGGGAGCTGTGGTCCTTACCCCCCTGGGGGACCCATCGATTTCGACACCCCTCTCGAGAGATCGTAGATGCGATGGGGTCCCCCAGGGGGGTAAGGACCACAGCTCCCCCAGTTATGGCTGGTCGGACTTGGACCCGTGCAGGCCGCTCAGCGGAGCTGTTGGGCGTTCGACTGCCTCGGGCAACTCTCGCGAACAGCAACAGAACAGCCGCGCGAAGGCCGCGTCGAGTCGTCGGCCAGCGAGGAGGGAGCGCCGCTCCCCAGGGAGCGGTGCTGCGGACGCCTTTTTTGGCTTGGCATCGCTCGGACGTGTGCATTTTTCCCTCGGCGAGGACCATCGAGGACCATCCTGGACCATCGAGCAGAAAAAACACGCACGAAACCGAAAAATGCACGGGAAATGGACGTCCGAGCGACGGCAAGTTGGTAGACAAGCATTCATAGCCGTGCGGATATGCTGCCCGTGAGTCACTGGGCCCTCTTCGGGGGCTTGTCGAGGCCCGTGTGGGCTTCCAGGCAGCCTCGTGGAGCTGCACGAGGGGTATGGACACGAGGCGGGAAAAGGATTTCGAGGCGGGGGATCCAGACCCAGGGAGGAGTTGGAGGATGAGGGGAAAGGGCGGAGCAGGAAGAGGAGGAACAGGCGGCAGTGGATTTAGGCGGCAGGAGATCTGGGGGCGGGAATCTCTGGGCCCAGCCTCCGGGACGCCCTGGTGTTGGACCCTCCTGTCAGGCTGCAACTCTTGGGTGGTTCAATTCACCATCGGCCTTGGTTAAGGCGATCGCAAACATGGATCAAGGGGGCGTGGATTAGCGACGGGTCCCGTTTCCACGGGAAATCGCGTATTTCCGCCGCCGAGCGAGGCGGCACCGGCCGCATTTAGGGGAGGGCATTTCCCCCGATCTATTGATTTGGTGACCGCGCGCCAAATCCATAGATCGCCAGTCCATGTTCGCGCCCCCGAATTTGGTGCTGATCTGGTATGGTCCGGGCTCATCTAGCCTGATCGGTCTCAATCGGCCCATTAGCTCAGCAATCGGGCCTGACATTTCCTCGATCCAGCTGGACAGTTCCGACGCGTGCCCGCAAAGACCACCATTCCGAGTTCCATGATAGCGCCAGGGGTGCGACACTGACGCACCCGCTGAGAGGCCCTAATCGACTCCTATCGCGCCAGACCGCCGCGCGCCAAAGTTGCTCATCCATATCGAAGGGTACCACGCGGGCCACACTCGCACGCCCCCGCGTGCATGTCGGAGCCACTGCCAAACTGCAGGGCGTCTGCTGAATCCTGACGATGTGGATTTCCCCAGTCAGTCCTGTAAAGGAATCGCTCGCGGGCCACGTGCGCGCGCCTTCGTGCGCGCGAGCCGAAATCATTGAGGACGAGTCGAGCGTTTCAGCATGACGCTTTTCAAAAGCACACACGAGCAAGTAGTTGCCAGGGGATGGGCTTCAGACTCCCCCCCACATCATCGCTCGCACGCCCCAGTCGTGGATCTGCATGGGAGAGGTCCATGCGTCATTGCGCCTGCTGGGGTTTGCTCACATGTTTCTGTAGCTAACTGCACCGATGGCCTCTTGGGTCTTGCCAACAAGATGCGGTTGGGTGGGCCGGATGCCTGCTTGAGCATTGGCGTTGGGCGTTGCGTAATGGAGGGGTCATAAATGGGGGGGTGGCGAGGGTGGTCCGAAAAGGTACCCAAACGGTACCTAAACGAGCCCCCTGGGGGTCCGGAGGGGCTCGAAAGGGGCACGAAAGGGGACCGTTTCTGACCCCCCCATTTATGACCCCCCCATTAAGCCACGCCCAATGGCGTTGCACACGAGATCTTGAAGCTCATTGCACCTCATAGAGTGCGCATCGTGAGTGCAAGAACCGACTGTCTGGGGTCCACGATGACAAACGTTTTGTGCACGGAGCCGTGGCCTCGGGAGCGCTGGTTGATAGCTTCGAGGGAAGAATGAAGTCCTGGCAGCGCGGTCCAACAGTTTGTTTATCGGAGTCGTGACGCTATGAACGCGGACCCATACTTATATATAGTCGCGGCTTCGTGTGTGCAATCAGTGTTCCCACGTGACCTCTAGAAAGCATGAGTTGAAGGAGTGTTGTTCGGTCTTGGGTCTTGGTGGTGGTGATGCGTCGTTGGCTCGTTGGGGCCGCGTGTGTTCTCAGAAACTCGGCTGGATGCCCTTTCGCAGGTGGTTTTCATCTGATAGAATGTAACCCTCGGTTGATCATTCCGCAATGTTTCACCACCCACCAAACCACCCCAACCCAACCCGAAGGCCCAAATTTGCCCTCTATTTCCAGTGGGGGGGGGGGTCGGGGAACGTCGAAAAAACACGTATGGAACCCTTACCCCCCCCAACCCGAAATTCGGGCCTTCGGGTTGGGTTGGGGTGGTCTGGAATGTTCGGTTGATCATTCCGCAATGTTCAACACGGCCTACTGGAACAGCCCCTGATTTGCTTTTCTCATGGAGGCACGGGCCACTGGGCCCTTGTTCGTTACTGGTTTGGGAGAAAACGGTCCCTTGCTCGTGATTCCCAAGCAATGACGGACCCGTGTTTTTGATTATTCCCAGGAAGATCGGATCCCAGTTTATTATTCCGAGGGGGTAGCGGACCGTTGCCCATTACTCCAAAGGAATAACGGGCCCTTGATCGCTACCCCAGGGGAATAACGAACCCTTGTCCAGCACTCCTGGGGAATAATGGACCCTGGCTCGTCATCCCGAGAGAACAGTGGACCTGTGTCCATTCTTCCCAGGGAGCAGCGGACACGTGTCCATTATTCCCAAGAAATAACGGATCCCTGGTCGTCATTTCCAGGGAGTTGCGGACCCCTGTCCATGATTAGGCTCAGGGAGTAACGGACCCCGGCTCATTATGCCCAAGGAGTCCATGGATTCTTGTTCGTTATTCCCAGGATGTGCCGTACCCTCGTCTATCCCTGTTGAGCAGTCTGGAATGGTGATCAACACATCCCAATCTTCTTGTCAAGAAAAACACGTCCTTGCTGATCAATCCAGAATTATACTGTGTCTCTCTTCCCTCCCAGCTGTCATCATAAGTTCGGTTGCTCAAGACGAAGGAACCCCAATTGATCTATCCTGAATCACCATCTTCCCCCACCCCCAACCCATGTCAATCCACTACTCCAGAATGGCGAACCCATTCAAGAACAATACTGCACCCTAAACATTTCTCTCGGAGTAATAGATATTGGTTGGTCGTTCCATAGAAAAAGTGATTATATCTCCGTTCCCCTCCGCCGAATCAATATAATGTACATACCAACTGACACCCATTCATACCCACCCTTTTTGGTTACTCGGGAATAGTGAACACTAAAAGCTAAGACGGAGCGCAGTTATGTACCCTGTATGGTTGCGGCCAGCACGTCATGATTGCCGAGTTTTTGGGCTCTTCAGCAGACTGCAGTGTCGCGAGTTCCCCGCTTACAGCAGCGGGATCTGAGTTTGCCAGTTGCCGAGTCTTCGCAGACCAACGGGCCCCGCCAGGGGGGGACGGCGGAATCGTTTTCGACGGGTTTGGCTCTCTGATGCAATCAGAGCCTCGGGGAGAATTTGAGGCAGGGCAGCGCCAGGAAGCGTTCAGTGAGCCTCTCTTGAGCGCTTGTCGGCTCAGTTTGGTGGAGGCATACAGGCGGCCCAGATTAGTAGGTCGACCCTGCCAAATCAAGGGTACCCTCGTGTCATGTGTCTTGCGACCCATGCCTCCTGCATTTCTGTGGCAAGGTGGCCCTCGGGAGGGTCTTGTGTCCTCTCGCGTGCCCTGCCCAATCAAGCCCGACTGGTCAGCGGGGTCCGTGTGCACGCGGAAGCACCCGAACTTCTCCCCAGGAGGGACATCGGGGCTCAAGAGACGGGGGTCCATGCAAAACGGGGGTCAGCCAGGGCACAGGATCTTGCAGGATCCTGCGAAGACCCCCTCTGGCTGTCCCGGGTTAGCGAGCCGCTTGTGGCCGCGAGGCGGCCGCGCATACTGGCTGACCCCGGGTCTGGATTGACCCGGGTCTGAAGATCCCCGAGGACAGCCAGGACGTCAGGCAGAGGGCACGCCAGAACGAGGGACAGGGAGGAGAGATTCGAAGACACAGGGTTGAGCTCGAACCTCGGCCTCGCGGTCTCACACACAGCGCCGCCGCCCTTTCCCTCCTCTTCCTCGCCCTCCTGGTCCTTCCCTCCCATTCGAGCCTGTAACCTCACAGACGGAGGGGGAAACCGAAGGGGGGAGCAAGGAGGAAGAGGAAAAAAGCAGAGGGGATACGTGCATGGGGGGCCATTGGCGAAGGGCGAGGAGCGAGGAGGAGGAGGAGGAGGAGGAAGAGGAGGAGGAGGAGGAGGAGGAGGAGGAGGAGGAGGAGGAGGAGGGGAAGGGGGGGAGGAGGAAACAGAAGGAGGAAGGAAACAAAGGCAGGAAGCAGGAGCAGGTGGAGGAGGAGGAGGAGGAGGAGGCGGAGGAGGAAGGGGGCTGGAGGAGGAAACGGGGGAGGAGGAGGAGGAGGAGGAGGAGGAGGAGGAGGAGGAGGAGGAGGCCCCCTCGCTCCCCTCCTCATCCCTCTGTGGGTGCCCCTCGGGGTCCGGCCTGCCGCCCCCAGTCGGTCGAGCAGTTTGAGGCCATGAAGCAGGCGCGGGTCTTCGCGCTTTGGCGGCGGGAAGGGCCGGACCCTCGGCTGGGAATTCCTCTCCTCTGGCTCCTTCGCCTCCCCTCTTCCTCCCATCCTCCAACTTGTCATCCATCATCCTTTTCGTTCCTCCTCCATCTTCCTCCCCCGCCGCCGCCGCCTCCGCCTCCTTCTCCTCCTTCTCCTCCTCCTGCTCCTGCTCCTGCTCTTGCTCCTGCCTCTTCTACCTATTTCCCTCTCCCAAGATTTGGGGCGAATTGTTTTATTCAAACGAGGTTCCTTCATCTGGGTCCCCAGGGGCCCTGGGGCCGTTGACGGTCCCCAGGGACAGAAGAAACCGATCTGGGAGGGAACCTACCCCTGGGGAGGGGGCTCGGGACCTTTTGGACCCGCGGACAAATCAGTCCATCAGATGCTTGGGTCCATCCTTCGCCTTTTCCTCCATCCTCCGTCTTTTCCTCCTCCATCGCCCTCCTACTCTTCCTCCTTCTCTTCCTCCCCCTTCTCTTCTTGCTCCTACCTTTCCTCCGACCGCGCCCCGCCCGGCTGCCACCATGGCACCTCCACCAGTGGGGGACCGGGCCGGGAGCAGAAAAGGTCCCCCTCCTCTCCGCGTTGTCTTGCCTCTCCCTTTTCCTCCTCATCCCCCTCCCCTCATCCTCTTTCTCCTCCCCCTCGCACTGCTCATATCCCGCCTACTCCCACCCTCCCTCCCATAACATGAGAACCTGTCATGGCGCGACTTGATGTCAGGACTGGCCTGTGCTCCCACCCGGCGCACGGAAGGCGTTCGCTCCCGCGGTGCCGCTTCCGACGACTCGGCGGGGGGTAGCAGACACGGACCGTTCACGGGCGGGAATGCAATATTCCGGAACTGTTTGCGCGACCTTGCGGAGACCATCTGCTTTTCGTCAGGGCATCCTGGGTTTCTTCGCTCCGCGCGCTGCGCGGTGACTTCCCGCAGCCGCTGGAGAAGCTGCTGCGTTCAGGGTGCTCCAGGTTTCCTCTTGCGGCCGCGCCCCCCGCGGAAGCAGCACCAGGAATCTGCGTTGCGCGCGGACCGACGAATCGGTGGCGCCGTCCCTGCCCCGGCGGCGGCTGCGAGGGGCTCCGCCCACCTCGAGCGCTGCAGGCCTTGCTCGCCCACTGGGTGGCAGAGCAGGATGTGCACGAACAGAGGATAAGGATAGAATCGGGGGTGTATAGAGGTCGGGGGTGGACAGAACCCCCAACAGTGACACGTCGATTAGTGAATTGTCCGTTTTCGGTTCTCGAGAGGGCGCCGCGGCCGTCATTTTCCAGGCTTGCGCCCGCCGGGTTTGGGCCTCAGGTCGTTTTCACTAAACCACGTTTTACTAAAGGGAGGTCTGTCCATCCCCGAGATAGAATCGGGGGTGTATAGAGGGAGGGTTTCCCCAGGGTGGGACTGGGGAACGGGCCCGGCCGGATGCTCACACGCAGCGCATCTCGTTTTTCCAGGGGCCGTCAGGAGCGATGTTCCCTCCAACCCCACCTCAGCCCCTACCCCACCTTTGTGCCCTCCCCCGATGGGAGGAGAAAAATGTGCGCCGCCCCCAAGTGGGAGCTCAACTGTCAGGACAATCGAGCGTGGAGCCCAGGCCAGAACGACAGTTCGCCCTCTCGCGCGCGAGGGGCGCCCCGTCCCCCACTCAGGGGGCAGTCTGCAGCGTCGGCGGCAAGTTAGCCACGCTGAGAGGAAAAGCGCCGTTATAGTGGAGGCCCATGCCAAGAAACACCCTGGTTGCCTCCAGAATGGCCTGGGTTTCTTGGGTCTCGAGGGTCTTGCTATGGGATGCGGAACGCTCCCACGCCAAAAATCATTGGACGTCCTGGGGTCTCAGGGTTGGGTATTTTGTGGAAGGTCTCTTGTGGACGAGCCCCTATTGTATAGTGTTTCTTAATGAATAGAATTGAACTGCCAAACTGACCGGCCATCGGGCAGCAAGATGGCAGAGCGGCAGTATGCATTTATGGGATCAAGGATATGAGGGGAGCCGGGCTTCGTAGAGAAGGAGGTTCTCCCAGGGGAGGGCAGGAAACGAACCGAGATGGATGCTCACAGTTTGAGCGATTTCCCTCTGACCACATCTCTGCTCCTACCCCACCCTTACCCCCGAGGATACACAGGGGAGGAGGAGAAGGAGGAGGACCAGTGGAAACCCAAGAGTCATCAACGATGTTGGAATGAACCCTCCCTCCAAGCTCCCTCTTCACAGGCCCCTACAACGGTTCATTTCCATTGAGGGAGCTGCCTCGTTGGAAGACAACAGTGTGAAGATCCCAAATCGTGCCAAAACATAGTTCTCGGGATTTCAACGCCACGTATCAACCTGATTGCTGCGTCTTGACGATCCAGAATCGTGCCAGAGTGCCATTCTTGGGATTTCACCGCGAATCAACAGAACTGTTGCGCCCGCAGAATCCTGAATCCTTCCAAACACCATTTCTGGTACGTTGATCATGGGCATCCGTGAAACTCTTCTAATCTGTTGGAAAGAATACGCGCGGAGCTAAGGCGAGAGCCATATTTTGAAAAGGAACTGCCCTCAATCCGTGAAGCGCTTGCATTTGTTGTTCCCAACCCTCCTGTGTTGGGTTCTAGTTTTGAACAGAGCAGTGTGGTCTCCACCCTCCTTCTCCCGCCTTCGCGCTCCTGCCTTCTGTGCTCTCCTGCCGTCTGGTTAATGATTCCTGCCTCGCCGTCTTGTCTCTAGGGTGGCCTTGCCTAAGGGTTGCGATCACTGGGGGGGCGGCTGCGATCTGCGCAATTGTCGCCACTTTCGTGGGCTCCTGGGAGGCCCAGCGGAGATACGTCATACGCGGATCACCTCGGTACCCCGCCGCCCCTTGGGGGAACTGCGATCTGCGCAACTGTCGCCACTTTCGTGGGCTCCTGGGAGGCCCAGCGGAGGTACGTCATACGCGGATCACCTCGGTACCCCGCCGCCCCCTGGGGGGCTTGCGATCTGCGCAAGTGTCGCCACTTTCGTGGGCCCATGGAAGGCCCAGCGGAGGTACGTCATACGCGGATCACCTCGGTATCTCGCCGCCCCGGGGGGGCTTGCGATCTGCGCAAATGTCGACACTTTCGTGGGCTCCTGGGAGGCCCAGCAGAGGTACGTCATACGCGGTTCACCTCGGTACTTCGCCGCGCACCATGGTTTTCTCATTGCCATTGTTTTTCGGGGCCATCACGCGGCCTTATCATTGCTTTCGCTGCCGCGCCCTTTTGTCTCCACTTTTGGGCGCTTCTGTTTCCTCTCGCTGCCGCGCCCTTTTGTCTTCATGTTTGGATGCTTTTCTTTGTTTCTCGCTGCCGCGCCCTTTTGTCTCCACTTCTGGGTGAGTCTGAACACTTTGGTTGTCGCGCTCTTTTATCTTCACTTTTGGGTGATTTAGGTTACTGCCGGTGCCGCGCCCTCTTTGTCTCCACTTCTTGGGGAGGTCTCATTGCGTTCGTTGCCGCGCTCTTTTGTAACCACTTGTGGCTGCTTTTCTACCGCGCCCTCCTGCGTCCACTTCTGTGTGCTCCTGCTTACTCTCGCGACCGCGTCCTTTTGATTCCACTTTTGGATGTTTCTCTTTGGGTTCGCTGCCGCGCCCTTCTGTCTCCACTTTTGGATGAGTCCCCACCCCCGTTATGCACCTCATGCATTAGCCCCGCTCAGCGCAGCGCGCTGCTGATTTAAATTGATGTTCTGTTTTAGCCATCGCCGCCGCGCCCTTTTGTGTTCACTTTTTGGGCGCGTTTCTTTCAACGCCCCCTGTATGTCCGTTTTGTATGTTTGCCGTTGCTCTTCTTGCTGTGCTCTTCTGAAATCATTGCTGGGTGCTCTTCTTGCGCACTGCGAGTCCTTCAGAATGCCAGTCAGCATTGAGTGGTCCTGAGTATATACGCCACATGTATAGAAAGGGTTGGGTACGTCGCAGGGTAATTACTATATATATATATAGAACTCGAATGTGCGCGGCGCTAAGACGAGAGCCACATGTTGAAAACGACCCGCCCTCAATGCGTGAAACTCTGGCAAATGTTTCAAACGAGTGTGCGCGGCGCCGAGGCGAGAGCCACATTTTGAAAACCACCCGCCCTCAGTCCGAGTCATAAATGGTGAGGAAGTCTCAGGCGAAACGCCCGGCCCGCCCTAAAAACTGGCCTCGGGGTGCGACAGGGAGAAGTTATCTGTAATGAAGGGAAACGATTTAAAAAACTTTCTGGGGCGGACGATAAAGAATTGTTTCGCGGGCCTCCTCGCCCCCGCAATAGCGGGGGGGCAGGGCAGGCAGACGGGGGGCTGACAATTCCGGGTTGCCTGGAAGGCCAGGGGGGGGGCACGGGGTGGCGATCCAGGGCGCGGGGGCCAGGGGGGTGGACGGGGTGATTTTTCAGGGCGAGCTCGTCCTCCTCCTCCGCCTCCTCCTCCTCCTCCTCTTCTTCCTCCTTCTCCTCGTCCTCCTCCTCCTTGTCCTCCTTCTCCTCATCCTCCTCCTCCTCCTCCTCCTCGTCCTTCTCCTCTTCGTCCTCCTCCTCCTCCTTTTTCTCCGCTTCCTCTTCCTCGTTCTCCTCCTGTTCGTCCTCCTCTCCCCCCCCCTCCGCAAGGACGAGGGCGGCCCTCTCGCTGTCTCGCCTCCCTTTCCTCCTCGTCGCCGCTCTGCCATGCTACGCTTTGATCTTCAACGCCATGCTATGCAATGTTATGTTCGGGGCCGCTGTGCGATGCCATGCGCTTTGCGTTGCAAAGATTTGTGATGCAATTCTTCACTACGCCACGCCACGCCATGCTGTGACATACTACGCGTTGTGGTGCTCTTCAACGCCATGCCATGCCGTGCTCTACAATGCATCGCGTACCCTTTCGGGATAATTGCCCTGCTCGACATCCGACTGTGCGAGTAGAGAGGGGATCTACGCCATGGTAAGGGATGGGAGGGAGGGGTAGTATGACGCGAGCGCACCTAGCTTGTCCTCCCCCCTCCTCCTCTTCCTCCTCCTCCTCCTCCTCCTCCTCCTCTTCCTCCTCCTCCTCCTCCTCATCCCCCACCTCCCAATCGCCGCGGCCGTCCGCAAGGACGACCAGCGGCCGTCCGCAAGGACGAGGGTGATCAAGCGCCTCTTCGAAAACCCCTTCCCTCAACTACTCCCTAATTACCCCGTCCCCCCTCCGCAATCCTCCCCTCGCGGCCGCGGGTGATCAAGCGAGCGAAGGAGGACGAATAGAAAATCAGTTCCCCCAAAGGGGCAAAAGCAAACGCCAGGGGGCGGACGATTAAAAAAACAGTTTCCGGCGGCTGAATTCTATTAGTCCGCCCCACTCAATCATTTTGGGGGATCCAGGAGGGGGGGGGGGGGGGGCGATTTTTTTAATCGTTTCCTTGCATTCGGGAGAAGGAATGGAGGAGGAGGAGGAGGAGGAGGAGGAGGAGGAGGAGGAGGAGGAGAAGCACTGGGTGCACAGCCGGGTTTTTCGGGACCCGCCCCGCCTGTTCGGGCTGGCCCCCGCGCCAGGCCAAGCTGGACGAGATCGCGGCCGGCAAGAAGATGGTGCCGCCGGGGGGGGCGGGGGCCGGGAGGAGCTGCTCAGCACGCAGAGCGACATGGGACCCGGAGGCTCGGAGGGTCGAGGTTTCTAGGTGTTCGCACGCCTCTGGGAGGAGGCCTCTCGTCGCCACGGCTGCCCGACGTGAGGTCCAGGGATAGGTTTCCCAGTGCCTATTAGGGCCCTCGAGAGAAAACTCGTCCTGGCAGTGTGTGTTGCTGCTGTCGGTCTGGGCCTCTGGACCGTCGACACGCATCCGATGGGACGAAGACACAGCCCCGGGGAAGGCCAAGGGGCCCAGGACTCGTTTGCTCCACGGCCGGCCAGAGGTATGAGATCGAGGACCCTTCTGCATACAGTCAACGCGCCGAGTAAGGACGCGTGCCTTCATCTGGGGTGCCCTTGTGTCCTTGCCTCTGCGTCCCGCCCTTTGCCGTTTTCACTGATCGCCCGCCGCCCGAAAGATCCCAACTTCGGCCTCCAAGGCCCACGCGTCCCCACCACTCGTCCTTAGTCCTCGTTTTGACTGCATGCCAAGCTGCAGGGTCGCAGGGCCTCCAGGTATCCACCATCGATCCTGACCGGGCACCACGCCACTCTCGGGCCCAGGATTCGTCCGGGGCAGACTTTGTGCCAGTAGGTATTCGACGGGCCCCGCAGCGGCGCAGGCCGTCGGACGAAGACGACTCGGGTTTGGGCTCGCCAGGGTCCGCGGCACGGCCTCGGATCAGCGCGTCCCCGATGAAGATCATCGCCAGCCTGAACTTGGCCAACCTAGCAAGGCCTCCGCTGTCGGACCGGCGAGATCGTTCCACGTCGGTCGATCCACGCTGTGTCAGACAAGAGCCCACATCGGCACTGCTCGGGCCAGCCGCACTCGTGAGGTCATGAGGTTTCCAGGAGCTTTGGGGCAGGTGTCCCACAGGGCGGGAAGAGTTGCTTCCATGTTGCTCTTCATCTACCTGAGAGCAGGAGGATCTGGACGGGGCACGACATCAGTTACGCTGTGCCAGATCGTAGCGCAGAGTTGCGCAATGGACTGCTAGAAGCAAGACGTTGGCGCCCTCTCCAAGGCCAACGGCCTCAACAGCATTTTCTTCATCGACTGTCCGCACTGACCCTTCATCCTGAACTCCGAGGCGGGAATTTATCCATACCCACCGCCTGGAGGGTCAGTTTTCGGAGCCTCGGCAGGCGGTGGACATGGACATGTTCGGGCCCACGGGGGCCGCAATATATCCATATCCACCGCCCGCTGGGGCACCAGGACGTCGGTTCCCAGGCGGTGGATATGGATAAAGCCCCGCCTCGCATGAACCGTCTTCCTTCCACGTTGCTGCCGGTCCCGTTCTGCACGAGCGACCGTGCACGAGCCAGGTGGCAGAGATCGACCAGGAAGACGCTGCCCTGCGGGAGAAGCACGCTCAGGAGCTGGATTGGGAGTGCAGCCCGTGTGTATCGAAGGGGCCATGCTCAGGAGGGGGAAAAAACACACAGGCACAATGAATCGTCGACCCCCACGAAAATATGGGGAAATATAGGGATTGGGGGGGAAGACGAAAACCCATGAAATATTGAAAAATCCAGGGAATCCTGTTATTTGTGTTTATTTATTTGTGTGTCCCAGGGCACCTTCACATGCGAGAGGTTGGATTGATCAGAGCACAAAGCTTCAGCTTCCACCATAGTGCCACGCAGTCCTTGGAATGTTGTGCTCCGTTGCCGTGTTCTGGCGCGGCACGCATGCTGCTTGTTCGCTCATTTGCCAAGCACACACGAGTTTCCCCCCGCCTTGCCATGATTGGAAGTGTTGGACCGCAAGCGCTGGAGCTGCACATGGAGGAGGAGGAGGAGGAGGAGGAGGAGGAGGAGGAGGAGGAGGAGGAGGAGGAGGAGGAGGAGGAGGAGAGAGGGAGGGAGGGAGGGAGGGAGGGAGGGAGGGAGGGAGGGAGGGAGGGAGGAGGAGGATAATTAGGATAATTAGGAAAATGAGTCAGAGAAGGGGAGGGGAGACCGCACGACTTACGAGTAAGTTTTTGTTATTCAGAAACTATACCACTGTAAGGAGCAATATTTGACGTCTGACCGGGACACTGCACGCACGTCTGACGCCTGAGTGTGCCGTTGCATTGTTGCCGATGTTGGATCATTTCGCAGCTAAGACGACGCTGGCAGGCTGCCACGTTGCAGTTTTGTCTGAAACAATATGGTGGCACGGCCATACATAGAGACCGGGCTTGCAGCTCTGCACAGTTCCCCCACGTGTTGATAGAGGCATTGTGTGAACGGCTCATTTGGGATGAAGTGAAAGTAGAAGACACGAGCATCGCGGGAATTTTACATTGCGGGTTGTCGCAGCGCGAGACGTTTGCTTCTTGCTTACCTTGGGTCCCTTTGGTGCCTCGAATTTCATAGGAGATGAAGGAGCTCAAGGACACTGAGGATCAGCTCGCCATGGACCAGCGCTCCTCCTAGCGAGCCCGTGCAGAGGGCGAACGAGAGTAGAGTGACTGCACAGTCCTTCTCTTCCCCCCCTCCTGCACAACACCCCTCCCTCTTCGTCCGCTCCTCGTCGGCTTTGGCAGGTGGCGTCGCTCGCTGGCGTCGTTGCTCCATGCCGGCACCTGGTGCGCGGCTGCGCTCGAGGGTCTACGATGGGTTTCGGAGAGCACCGGGAGGTGAAGAGCACCGGGGGGCATGCGGGGTGGGGGGGGAGGGCGCGAGGCTCTGGCACGGTCCGCCCCACGTCTGCGCGGCGAGCACGCCCCGCACTCTGGGGCTCGGCACGGGCCCTCCGGCCACGGATGGCTGCACGGCCACGCATGCCTCGGCCCTTCTCCCAGACAGCCCTGGACTCAGCATCATGCTCGGGCCCATCCTTGCCGGTCCCGGGGCCCCGCAAGCAGCCCCCGCGGGCCAGAGCTTAGGATGAGCTCCGTGACCGACAGGTCACTCCCTTGGAGGTCTGGCCGGACCCCCGAGCGCCCTGGCATCGCTTGGGCGTGTGCATTTCTCCCTCGGCGAGGACCATCGAGGAGCATCCCTGACCACTTGGCGAAAACACCACGCGCGAAACCGACAAAAGCACAAGGAGTGGACGCCCGAGCGCTGGCCAGGCTCTGGCCTCGCCGCCCGCGCCGGGCCGGCCGGCCGGCCCCGCGGCAGCGGAGACCGGCCGACCGCGGCCGCGGCCGCCGAGGGCCTTCCTCGCGGACCTGAAGCAGAAGTGCGCGGAGGGGGACGCGGAGTTCGAGGCGCCGCGCCGGGCCTCGGGGCCCTCCCCTCCACTCGACGAGACGTCAGAGTTCAGGAGGGAAAAAAGCACACAGACACAGTTAATCGTCGACCCCCAGGAGGAAAATATGGGAAGTGGTGGGGAAGACAAAAGCTTAGAAAATATATGAAAACATGGGGAATCCCTTTATTTGTGTGTATTTATTTGCGTGTCCCAGGGCCCCTTCAAGAGTGACCTTTCGCTGGAGTGACCCTTGGTGCGGGCACAGATGGGTCCCCGGATGGCTGAAAACGAAGCGGCAGCAGCGGCTTGCGCGCCCGGGTTTGGTCTCCCCGCGGCCCCGAAAACGCCGCGCACCCAAGGTCACTCTTACCCAGGGTCATTCTTGCGTGTAGCCGATCCAAGGAGGAGGAGAATCAGCCACGCGCAGAGAGGGGAGGGGGGATGGGGGAGGGCTTCTTAGAATCGGGCCGGACGAAGGGGGGGGATAGGGAAAGGGGGGCTACGAAATCTGCTGCATGCAGCTGGTTTCGGCCCCACCGAGGGGCCCCTTCCTCGATACACGGCCGCCTCTGGCGCTGGGGGGCGCCGGGAGAACCAGCTACGTAAGCTGATTCTCAAACCCCCCCTTTGCTATCCCCCCCTTTCGCCCAGCCCGATAGAAGCACCCCTGCTTCTTAGAAGGCGCGGGCCTTATCTACAGGTGTAAGGCCGGCGCCTTCTAAGAAGCAGCCTCCTCCTAAGAAGCTCTCCCTGCTCCCTCCACCCCCTTGTGCGCGCCGCCAAAGGAGAAGGAGGGTGTTGAATCTTCCTCGGCCGTTGTGTGGCGATGCCACTTCACCGAACGCTTTCCACTACTCGCAAAGCGCCTACTCGCAAACACCCGAAAAACTGTTTGTTGCATCGACGTAATGTGTCGTGAATCCCCCGCGGCGGAACCAGGCCATTTGCGAGTAGTGACCTTGCGAGTAGTGGAACGCGCTCGTCTAGTGTCGACACCACTGGCTTGCCGATGCAACCTCAGCCAGGAGCCGAGGTCGGTCGGGTCCGCCGCGGGGTGGGCGGATCTCCCCCCTCCCCTCTCCTCCCCTCCTTCCCTCTTCTTTTGTTTTCAAAGCACCCGCCGTTACCTTAGTTTGAATTCAAAAAAACCAGCTCTACGCCTGCTCCTTTTCGAATTCAAAAACCAGCCTTTGATTTGAATTCAAAGTATTTTCTTGAATTCAAAAACCAGCCTTCCCTGCCTGCTCCTGGCGGCTGCGCTGAAGTCGTGCCTGTCCCTCTACAGGAGGAAGATTCGAAAAGTGTCAAAACATAGTCTGGAGGCGATGTTTTGAGCATGTTTTGTATATGTGCTGCCTATGTTTAATTTTTCTTCCGAAATCCCCCTGTAGGGGGACAGGCCCGACCTGAGGCTGCGAGCTGTGACCAGCGAGACCACGAGGGCTCCCCTCCGCCTCCCCTCCCTCCCCACCTGGCCCGCCTGCACGCGTCGCTCGCTCAGAGTGAGCACTTTTAGGGGAACCCCGAGCGCCGTCCTGCTTCGAGAATCGGTATGCTTCTGCCGTGTTTCGTGATTCCTCGGGTGGACCTGAGCCCCGCCAACTGCTTCATCCGCCTTCCTGCCTCATGTGTTGACCCGCTTCTTCCGACCGACGCGTACGCCCGCCATGCTTCCGGCGGCTTCGCGGCGCGGGGGGGGGGGGAGCCCGATGGGTCGAGCGTGCGGGGCGCCTTGCCGCCCGCCGTCTCTCTATCGGGGCCCCTGGCCGCCCGGCCCTTCCCGCACCGCGCGCCCTCCGCCCATCCGTAATGGCCTCGGCGCGCGGAACTGGCCAGGCATTCCCGTCGCGCTCGGTTTGCGCACTGTCACGGCGTTCCTCCTCTCTCGCCACGTCGTCCCCGTTGTGCCCCCCCTTTCCCCTCGTCGTCGCAATCGGCATCCTTGAAGAGTCCGCGTTTCTGCCACGCCGCGTGAGGTAACCCAGCGGCCTGCCACGCGGTGCTGCTGATCAGCGCAAGCTGCAGTGTCTTACACGGTCATTTCACCCCTTCGCCAATACACCTCTGATGTGCGCGGTCTCTCTCTCTCGCTCTCGCTCTCGCTCTCTCTTTCTCTCTCTCTCTCTCTCTCGTTCTCTCTCTCTCTCTCTCTCTCTCTCTCTCTCCCTTGCTCACACGCGACGCCCTGGCGTGATGGATCGTCGGCCGATGGTCTGGAGGGTTTGCCTGCAGGTTGGCACGCTTGTTTAGTCGTTTGCCTGTTGGTTAGCGGTCAGGGCCTCCTTGGCTCGGAACCACCACTTTCTTTTGAGTTCTCTCTCTCTCTCTCTCTCTCTCTCTTTCGGACGACGATTAGGAGGAGGAGGAGGAGGAGGAGGAGGAGGAGGAGGAGGATGAGGACCGAGGAGGACCGAGGAGGACCGAGGAGGACCGAGGAGGACCGAGGAGGACCGAGGAGGACCGAGGAGGACCGAGGAGGACCGAGGAGGACCGAGGAGGAGGAGGAGGAGGAGGAGGAGGATCGAGAAGGCTCAGGGAGGGTAAGGAGGATCGACGACCGCTTGGCTGCTCTCGGCTCGGGGCGCGAGCGCGCCGCCCGCGCCGCGCCAGTCGCGGATGAAGGGCCGCCTGGACGAGATCACCGCCGTGGAGGACTTCGGTGCGGGCCGGCCTCCGCCGCGCCTCCGCCCCTCTTCCTCCCCTGGTGCTCCGCGCCTCCGCCCCTCTCCTCCCCGTCTCCTCCGCGCCCCCGCGCCTCCGCCCCTCTTCCTCCCCCGGTGCCGTCCCTCCTCGCAGGTGCCTCGGGGGTCTCCAGAGAAGCGTGGGGACTCGGAGGTCCGCGCGGGTGTCCTGGATCCGCGCTGAGCCCCCTCCCTGGCGCGCGGAGCACGCCAGGGACGGCGCCGGAGGCGCCGCCAGGAGGCCCCAGCGCCGATCCGAGAAATCCACACGGACCTCCGAGTTACCGCGTTTATGTCATTGTTCGTTCCCCCAGTGGTGACCACACTGCGCGGTGAGCCGGTGGGGATTCGGGGTCACCGCACGGTTTTGGGATTCGGGTCGTTCTCCGAGGACGTCTCGGGCGACAGGGGCCTCCAGGGTCCCAAGACCGTGCGGTGACGGACCGTGCGGTGAGGTCTCTTGGGGTTCCGAGGTTACCGCACGGTCTGTCACCGCACCTTTTCGAGACTCCAAAGTGTCGGAGGACGCGTACAGTCGGGGCCCTGAAGAAGGAACCCGTTTCGTTGGGGAGGGGCTCCGTGTTCCTTAATTGTTTCGCAGTTTGCCTTGGATTTTCCTTAGGTTTTCGATGCGAAATCGAAGTTTAACTTATGGAAAAAAAGTGGCCTCGTTCCTTATTTAGGGTTCCTTAGGTCAACGCCTCGACTGTAATGGGAGGGCGATAGGAGGGGGGGCGGGGGCTGCAGAAAGGGGCCCTTTGGGGCCCCGAGAGTGCCCCTGCCTTCCCCCCCCCATTCGTCGCCCCCCCACGAGCTCGCGCCCAGAAGTCGCCAGGCTCGGCATGCGCTGGGCGAGGTCGCAGAGGGGAAGATCACCATCAAGACGAGCCCACTTGGCGAGCGCGTGAAAGCATTCGCAGTGCAGCGCCGGCCCTCGCGCCATTGGGCGTACGGCCACTTGACTTGACTTGTCTTCCTCATCCGTCTCTTCCTTCCTCCTCTGCCTCTTCAGTCACGTCCTGCCTCCTCTCTCCTCCTCCCCTTCCCGCTCCATACCCTCCTCTGCTTCCTCCTCGGTCCTATTTCTCCCCGGCCCAGTCCCAGTTTCCCGCTCTTCTCTCTCCCTCTTCCCATCTCTCTTCCGCGCTCTCTGCACCTTCTCTCCCTCCATCTTCATGTTCTCGCCCTGTCTCCTCCTGAGGATCGTCCCCGTCTTGGAGCGGGTTCTGTCCAGGAGTTCCAGGCGAATCCAGTCATGGCGACGGGGGCATCCAAAATGCTCCATAAGGCAAAGAAGCGAAAGCCCAAACCTGTCCTTCCACTTCGTCCCCAGCCCCTCACATCCCAACTCCTCTCCCTCTTCTCTTCTCCCTTCTCCCCTCCTGATCCTAACACGGGGCGGGCGACTGCCAACCCCCGACAGAGGGCAGGCAAACCCTCTGGGCTCCGTGCGTGGGGTTTGCCGAGGGCGTCGGCGCTCTTGGCCGCCGTCCTTGATATTCCCTTCTCCTCCTCCTGCTCCTCCTCCTTCTGGAAATTCTCTGTTCGTAGTCTGCCCAGTGGTCATGGTTACGTGCGCGTCTTGGGAGCAGCGCGCGTCAGGCACCAGCCAGGCAAGCCCAGAGCGCCACAAAAGCAGACCTGCAACGGATAAGCTCCCGTACAGAACCTCCCTCCTCCCGATTCTACGACGCCTGACCCGCCGGGGTTTGTCTTTTCCCTGCCGTCAGTCTGTGCCTCACGCGCCCATGGGGCGTACGGTCTTTGCTTGCTTGCTTGCTTCCGCCTCCCTCTTCGTGTTGTTCGCTGATACCAGGCCCAGCGCGTGCCCTCTCAAGACCGGGCAAGTGCTGCCACACGCGCAGCTTCACGGGGCAGACTTCGCCGCCGTGCCCAGACCCAGGGCGCGTCTGTGTGCAAGCGTCGTCTCTCCAGTGGCTCCGCCGGCGTGAGGTGAAGGGCATCAGCATAAATCAGGAGGGGGAAAAACACACAGACACAAATAATCGTCGATCCCAAAGAAAATATGGGAAAATATGGAAAGTAGGGGGGGAAGACAAAAACCCAGAAAATATGGGAAAATACTGGGGAAACTTTTATTTGTGTGTATTCATTTGTGTGTCCTGGGGCCCCTTCATCCTCGTCGGCGCAGCAGTCGTACGCCTCGCCGCTCGCGGACGGGCCCCCGGGTAGCTCGGAGCCCATGCCGGAGAGCGGCAGGTAACACCAAGGAGGGTGAAAGTCTCCGCGCGCTTGAGCGTCTGGGGCGACTGACAGTGGGCCCCGGGCCGAAGGCCAGGTTGGGCAAACGTGAGTCAGGAGGGGAAAAAACACACAGACACAATTAATCGGCGATTCCCAGAAAATATGGGAAAATCTGGGAAGTGGGGGGAAGACGAAACCCAGGGAAAATGGGAAAATATGGGGGGATATTTCTATTTATGTGTATTTATTTGTGTGTCCCAGTTCCCCTTCAATGAGTGCGGGTGAGGCAGCAGCTGAGGTTGACGTTGGGCCGGGGCAGGGGGGTGGACCAGGATGGGGAATCCTGCAAGCACAGTGAAACACATTGACAGAGCGAGTCAGTGCTGTGCATTTGTGTTCGGCCTTGCTGGAGGCCTCCCGGACTGCCAGAGCGCATTTTGGGGGAAGTCCGTGGGGCCGCTTGGAGACATCTTGGGGGCTCCGCTACTGGAGGAGGTGCGGCTTATCACTCCTTATCGTATTGCATCCGTTTGACCGATTGACAACGACGACCAACAACGACGACGACGACGACCACCACCACCACCACCACCACGACCACGATCACGACCACGACCATCACGACCACGACGACCACGACGAGTAAGAGGAGGAAGAGGAGGAATAGGAATCGGATGGTGACAAGGGCAAGAGGACGAGGAGGAGGAGGAGGAGGAGGAGGAGAAGGACAACGAGGACGAGGACAGCCCTCAAAATCGCCTCTTGAAGCCCTCTTGGGACTCTTTACAGGGATTTTGGACTTTGGGCGGGTCTTGGGGCCCTCTTGGAGCCCTCGCGGGGGTCCCTTGGGAGCCCTGGAGGGACTCTTGGGGCCATCTTGAAGGATATCGATCAAGACGAGGAGGGGTCCTCGATGTGCCTCTCCCATCCTGGGCCCTCAAAAATCGTCTCTTGGGCCATCTTGGGGCAATCTTGAGGCCCCAGAGGGCCATCGGAGACCAAAAGGCGAGAAGGCACAACTCGATGATTTTCCGGAGGTCGTTGAAGGAAGTTGGCCTCTAGGAGGGGTCCTGAGGGGTTCCGAGAGCACTTGGAACCGTCTTGTGGCCCTCGTTGGAGCCATAGCGGAGCCCGTTTCGCCCCATAAACCTTCCACAGGTGCCCCCGAGATGTCGCAGCCTTATAGGCACCGCATGTGTTCCAATGATGTGGTTGTGTAGCGAAGGGGGCGGCGCAACGCGCGCGGAGCTCGCCAGGTGTTCCAACGCACGCGCACAACGGGCAACATGTCGACACCCCCGCAATCCGTATCAGAGACCATCTGAAGGGGCGACGGGGTGCTCACCATGGCGTGTGCGTGTGCGACCGCAATCAGCTTGCACTTGCTGTTGAGCGGAACAGCGGGCGAGCGCACGGCGGACACCTATGCTCACGCCCCCACCGCCGGTCAAGAGTTTGTGTGAAGTGTATGTGGGGTGTCCCGTCACGATCCAGATTTTGCCGCCACGTGCATTTGTTTGTATTCTCAACGCGGGCGGCAGGGGGTGGACTCCTTCTTGGTGGGCGGGCGGTCAAGTGGGGGAGGAGGTGTTTAATACTAAGGAGCAGTGATGAACCCCCTCCTGGAGGGGACAAATGGGGTTGGAAAAACGAGCGCGCCACATCACGTCCGCCCAGAGGGCTGGTGGGACTGATGGGCTCCAAGGTGGTTCGCTCATGGAGCTCAGGTCTTCTGGCTTTCCCGTGCCTTTCGGCCTCGTTCGCCATGCGAGACCCGGGGGCGCCAGTGATGGCGCACTGGCAATTCGAGCTGGACGGCAAAGAGGGGGCGTGGCAGGGCTTTTCGGCGCCCGTCAGCAGTTCCCTCGAGGCGGCCTACCAGCAGTGGGCGCAGAGCCCAGGGCCGCCCGCGCGGGTGCGCTCTGGACATTTCGTTTACCATGTCGACTACGCTTCCATGCTGACCGATGGCGCCCGCGAGTCTCAGCGGATCCGCCGCATCAGCGTTACCGAATCTGGAGGTGGAGCGCAGCTGTGCCGCGTGGAGCCAGCGCTCTGGAGCGAGCACCAGAGGCAGCTGGAGGCGGTCGAGAAGAAACTCGCGGAGCAAGAGGCTCGCTTGGAGGAGCAGGCTGCGCGGCACGCGGCTTGCCTCGCCGCGTTGCAGGCGGAGCTCGAGGAGCTGCGCGGCCGTTGCACGGCCGCCGACGGCGATGACGCGGGCTCGAGGCTGCTGCAGCGGCTTCGCGGGTGCTTGTGCCCCGGCCAACTGGTGACGTGGGCGGTCGGCGGTGCCGACGAGCTGCCAGCCGAGGCTCTGGGCCGCGTGCTCTCCGTGGAGGGCCAGCTGGTGGCCGTGGAGCTTCTCGGCTCCGCGGGCCCCGGCAGGGTCTCTTGGCTGCCGTCCGACAGCTTGCAGCGAGCGCCTTCGCAGGAGCTGCTGAGGCGCTCTGGCACGCGCGTGCGCCGGCGCGGGCAGGGGGCCGACGGGCACCCCTGGCGGCGAGGGGTTGTGTGCGGCGCGGCGGACGACTTGGCGCTGGACGTCCTGACGGCTGGCGGGCAGCGGTGCCGCGTCCCTGCCGCAGAGCTGGAGCTCGACACCGCCCACGCGACCGGTCGCCGCCCGGGCCTGACGCAGCTGCAGGCCGGGGACCTGGCGCGCGTGTCCGGCGAAGCGGGCCTCGCGGAGCTGCGGAGGCACGGCGTCGCCCCCGACGACGTCGGCATGGTCGTCGGCTGCGAGGGCGGCCGCGCCGTCGTGCG